ACAATGTTTTGCTAAGATAATAATTATTTGTTTGTTTGTTTTTTAAGTTTGCAATGTGCCTGAACTCATTAGTTCTCTGTTAGATTTTGTCCTCTACTTAGGGGCAGCTCACAATCAACTGGCAGAAGCCAATTCATGTGCTGGGGTTGAGGGACTAATCTTTCTCAACGACTGATTGAGAAATTAGGCTGGGGACATTCAAATCTGTAGCAAGAGTAAAACCATATTTCACCCATTTACATCAATTCCACCCATCTGAGACATATTGATATCCACCCCTGCTCCCAGTAATCCAGGCAAAAAGTATTCATTAACCAGACTGAAACTTGCCAAGGAAATCACACACACACATACACACACATACAAAGTATTCTGAGTTATTTTGCCATTTTGATTTAACAAACACTGTAGTGAAGAGAACAAGGCCTGGAATCACACTTCTGACTATGTTGGCATATAATAATTAAACCTGGCCTAACTGGCCTCCAGGTATAAGTCTAAGCACAACACAGAGCCTCTGTGTGCTGGGAAGTGTGGGATGGTTCAGCACATACCTGGCCACGTGGCCACTGTCGTCTTTAATCCAAGAGATGCCGCAAAGGACCGACAGAGTACTGAGGGGAAATCTGTGGCCATGGTGGGGAGACTGTAATCCCCGCCCCCCACCTCCCCGCCTAACGCCCCTGGGCAGCCAGGCCCGGAAGCCTACTGGCTTCAGGGAAAAGACATTACCCATCAGAGGGCATTGCACGAGGTCTTGTCCTCTTTCTCTGCTGTCGCTTGCAGCTGCTACTGCAGTTCAGGCACATCAGGAAATGAAAGAGGTTGAAAGCCAGGGAGAATTTTCTCTAAGACTTGAAAAGGATACTTTTTTAAATGTTCATTCTTGGTGCTATTTAATTAAAAATTTTAAAGATATCTATCTTCAGCAGCCTCTGAGACCCTCCCCTTCCGCTCCCATTGCAGCTTTGATGAGAACAAGAGAGCATTCTTGTAAAATGGCCCAGATGACCTTGTTTTCTGGCCCCTCACCTCCCCGGCCTTGTGCTAATAGCTGAAAGAAAGGCTAGCTCCTAAAGCCACCTTTCCCAGCGTACCGTGGCTGTCAGCTGACATCCAGAATGCGTACATGAACCTTCTCAGAGAAGAAAGAAAAAGAAGAGAAGAATCACAACACCTTGCCTTCTCTCTCCTCCTCTCTGGACTCTACAGGCTGACAACAGCCTCAGACTACTGGAGGCTCACCATCAGGAGGAAAAATATTCCCTTGATCCTCAGGGAAACTGGCCAAAGTTAACCTTCCAATCCACTTGGCTAAAACATCTGGCTGAACAAAGGAGCCTCCGTCTCCCAGCCAAACGGCCCCTGGTCTGGGGAGACAGTTCCCACAGAAGCCATGTTCTCCTGCCTGGGCCAGGCAATGTCCCCCTAGCATGGGGGCGAGGGGGGGGGGGGAGGCAGTAATCTCCTGACCTTATGAGGTGACAGGGGAGTGTGAGAGGGCCTTTTGAAGGTGACTTGGTTCCAGGAAGCAGGCGGTTTCCACTAGTGACAGCCAATTTGAAAAGGTTTCTATGGTGCTAGACATTTGTGGGCAATTATCAGGTATTAATGAAAGTACAAATTCCAGGAAGCTTATCATAGGGAACCATCTGCTGACGGGCTTACTCTAATCACTTACCAGATCATTTCCTTTGCTGCTCGCGAGCATGCAAAGACTCTCGCACAAACCACAGCAGGTCATTCTTTTACCACATTCTTATTTTCTTACCCAGAACTCTCACGTACCAACAGCCGCTTAGTTCCCTCTCCTTGGGTAGCCACACCCAGTCTTTCCTCTCCCCTTGTCATTCTGCATTTGATAAATCTCAGATTTAAACTATGGGTCAGTTGATGACTGGGGCCAGCTCATTAAAAAAAAAAAGTCTGCTTTCTATTTTTTTTTTTAACCAGCAAGTGTTGAAATGGGAGAATTCCCTGAGACATAGAACTCTTAACGTTGGCTCCACAAATAGTTCTTTCAAAGAGCCTCGTTCAACTGAATAAACTTCTGCTGACTCACCCAGGGAGCTCACAACTTCCAGGAAGTTTGGTTGGCAACAGCCACTGGCTGCAAAACCCAGGCAATTGTTTCTCCATTATTCCATTACCAGTTGGCAGAGTAGACAAATAACCAAAATAGGAATTCTCCTTCCACATGAAGTCATAGAGACCACAGGGAGACCGTTGCTAATTCTACCTGGTCTCCCCTCCTGGTTCACTGATTTGCTGAAATCCAAAAGAAAGAGACTACCGCTTGAAGTCTCGTTTTCCAAATGTGGCCTGGCTCAGGCTCCTGAATCTCATCTAAAACCTAACACTGCAGCAAATGTTGCCTTGAACTATCTTCTCACTGGAACCAAAACACACTCAAAGGTAAATACGCCCATTCCAGGAGAGAATCTGCTTACTGAAGTTACAATGGAAAATTTACCTACATCCTCAGCATCCTCAAGATCTTTCCTGAACGCTGACTTGAGTGAAACATTCCAGGCCATGACCGTTAATTCCTGAGAGAAACTGAACCTTTGATTTCTAGAGGCTGTGACTTCCATGTGGATCACCACATTATTGTATCATCACACTTCCTGTACCTCAAGTTAAAGAATAAGAAATGTGAACATCCGAGAAACACTGTTTAGCATTCGGAACAATTTCTACAACCATGGAGGGGAAACAAGTTCAACAGAAAACCAACTTGAACAAGTTTTTAGCCTCATCCTGAGCCGGCTGTCCAGAGAAAAGACCCATCAAAGCAGACACTACCACGAAGTCCTAGCCCATTCTCCAATGTCAGGCATCTGACTCAAGAATTAGCCTCATTATTCAATGGCATTTAATCAGTTATATACTTAGATTATAAGACTTGACAGCAGGTTTATGAAGAGAAAAGCTCTTCATGATAGGTTGGCTATCAAGTGTCTCCCAAAAGACTCATGAATTGAAGGCTTAGTCTTTAACTGATGACTTTGGGGAGTTCTAGAAACCCTCGAGGTACCAGAGGAAGCTGACCACTAGCACAGTGATGGGTAGAGGATGGGTCTTGGGGAACTGTACATAGAGTAGGCTTGCCCATCTATCTCTCTGCTTCCTATCAGTTTTGAGGTAAGTAGCCCTCCCCCTCCCCAAAGGCTCCTGCCACCTGAGGCGCTACCCCAATTCACAAGCCCAGAATCAACAGAGCTAAGAACCAAGGACTGAAACATTGAAGTTGTGAGCCAAATACAAATGTTCTCAATTATTTGTCATACTAACATAAACCATGGAGTTTGACTGGCATATTCCATGAACTGTGTCTAAAGTTGACTATCTGGATATTGATTCTCTAAAATCCTAGTTAACATAAATCTGTTTCTTGAAAAGTGTCAGAGAACATTCTTCAAGGGATTGGGTTCCAATTTTAAGTGGTCAGAAAAATCTTTGGAAACTGATGATATGAAAGAAAAGCAAAACATAAAAGTGTGTTGGGATCTTCGTTATCTAAGAAAGATTGTTCTTAAGTATTAGATTCAATTAAAAATCATTCTTCCAAACAAAACGAAACCTCCCGCAAGCTCCAAATAGACGTTCAGTGTAGCACTTAGAAGAAGCCTTGTAGATCACTGGAGAAGGAACTAACCTTAGGTGAGCTGCTGAAATGGTCCTTCAGACAAGAGAGCATGTACAAGCACTATCAGCTGTGACAAGAGCTCCAACACAGTGGGCATCTTGGAGCATCTCCTAGCCATACCTAGGAGCTTTGAGGAAGACCAACTCCACGTGCCTGTGTGCTCTCTCTACCTTACACTGTAGACAAGAAAAACGCAACGAATGTTTGCCTTGAGACAGACATCCATCACTCCACCCACACTGATTTACTCTGCTTCCATAGCAACCCCACGAAGGAGGCATTTTCAAGAACTGGCAACTAAGGAAACCAAGACAAGGCTTAACAGCTTGCTATGTCAGTTTCTGACTGTATTTGTCTGTCTTACCTCCCTCGTCGCCCTTTTTTGCCTGCTCTGGTAAAATGGATCCAGGCCCTTGGAAAATTTTCACTTTGCATGCTTGCCCAATATCAAAATTTGTCAGGAGCGGGTGCTGCAGAGACACAGGAGGGGGTGTTTGCTGGGCCAGCAGGAGCTAGGCCCAGAGAGTGCACTGGCAGTGGCTTCTCTGAACTGCGAGCAAAAACCCTAAGGGAAGCGCCTCCCTATGCGCTGCAGATTTCTGGCAAGTTCAGAAGGTAGATTTCCAGCAAGTTCCATCTATGTGGCTGCAGAGGAACTTCCCTGTCACCAGCTTGGCTGCATTCATTCCTCTGGACGCTCTTCCCAGGGGAGTACCACTCATGTATCTGCTGTTCCTGGCTGTTTCCTCAGAGCTGCCTTTGCCCTCACTAGCAGATCCCTCCCTATACCTCTTGTATGCTTAATGTGTACAGTCATCTTTCTCACCTACCCCATGATTTTCTCACCCAGAGGCAGCTTGACACTCTTCTGCGGGTGTTATCAGACTGCCTGACCTGGCCTGGGCAACCATGGGACATGGAATCTAATTCTACTAAAGGGCAGAGTGTGCAGGGGACGGTGCCCAGAGAGACCCTGAGCACCTTTGTAAAGTTACCCATCGGACACGGAAAGGACCACAGTGCTCTGGAAGAGGAACCCAGGCAGAGGAACCCAGAGGGAGGAGGAACGGGACAGGAAACGGACAGGGGTGTCTGCAGGACTCCTAGTCCATCCTCCACACTTCTGAGATACCCTAGTGATCTCTGGGGTCCTGTTGCTACCCTGTTTCTACCCTGCCTGGAAGGCAGCCTCCCGCACTGGGCTCTAAGACACTGCAGTTTCCATGGTGGCCAGGGGTGGCAGCAGAGAACACTGCACTCTGGGGCTTTGGTGGCATTCCACACTGAGTGCTGTCAGCATTGCTCTCAGTCCAGATCAGAATATGTATCACAGACATATTTACATTTCTGGTTAATTGCATTCATTTCCATTTATTGGTTGTAAAAGACAGTTGATTCTAGCTCCGCGAATAAAATATTTATAAATAACGTTTGGAAGAACACATAGCAAAGGTGGAACCATTAAGGACATTTCACTTTTTTTTTGGGGGGGGGTGATGCAGCAAGCACTGAAGTCCCCACACATTCAGTCAGCTCTGCCTTCGGCCCACTGATGGCGACTCTTGAGTTGAGCAAAGGGAGGTGCTGTGGTTGGGTAATGGACGCGACTGCTGACAGCTCCCTGGTCTGACCATTCTGGGTCATGAAAATAAACCAGTCTACTTGCTCTTTAGTCTTTGGCATGTTGCCTTCTTATTTAAAAAAAATCAGCCTCTAGGATGAGGTGGTTCATGTTTGAGGTGATTTCTCAGGTTTTGAAGTTGTAGAATTTGAACAACAAAAACAAGGACTCTGGATCAAAAATACAATAAAAAAAAAGCGCTTCCTCCCCCTCCTCCAGAATCTAAGCACACTACGTGGCCTTCTGCTGCGGCGAAATATCAGAAGCACAAGGGAAAGTCCAGAATTCCATCAACGAAGGGAAGGAAGCCTAGTGGGTTATTTAGGGTTGATTTCCCTGCAACAGATTGACCTATTTCATGGTCAATTATTGTTTCGGGTTTGTTTGGGTCATTCAGGAAGGGATACTTCCTGTAGAAAAAAAAAATCAAAAGTTGTCATGTCTTGAAGACACAGCTAAGTTTAATGGCTTATCCATCTTGAAGTCTTCACGGCTGTGGGCACGCGGGTCTCAGGGCAGCCTGGGGTCACAACGCGTTTCTCTGAAGGAGCTGGTCCAGTAACTGCTGCAGGGGCAGGGGGCAGAGATGTCAAGCTCCGGTTCCGATCTCTGTACCACACACACCGCGCCCGCTGGCCCAAAGCCATTTACCTTTTTGAAGACTTCAGCGCGGAGTCTGTTACTCTGTAAGATCACCCTTTTCTTCTGTTCTTCTTTTTTCTTTTTCACTTCTGGCAAGTTATTATAGATTCTGAAACAGATGCAAAGAACATTTTGACTGGCAGCCGACAGCGTGTGCCTGCAGTGGAGGGCATCCTGTCTTATCAGCGGGCGCTTTCATTTCAGAGGGAGAACCCTGCATGTGGGCCATCTCTGCGTGGTGAGACACCCCGCGCCGGGCTTCCCGATGTCCCCGGGACACAGCGACGTGGTGGGGGGCAGGACCTCGCTCGTCTCTCCGTTTCCTGGGGCAGTGCAAGAGAGCGGGGGAGCCCAGGTATTTCGTTGGAAGTCACTTCCCTCATTTCTTCATTCCCAGTGATAAATGCTTACACATAAAGTGAGTGATCCTAAACCTACCGCTTGGCCATTCTGAGTATAAGCTTTCCCACTAGTGCCTTTGTCTGGCACCCTATTTTTGTCTCCCTGGGTTTTAGGAAAGGAAGCAATAGCTATGTGGGAGTAGCAAAAATTATAATGATGGACATTCAGAAATGCTTCTGTTGGATTTTTAAGTAGGTTTTTTTTTTTTTTTCAAATACATCCCAGGCCAGAGTCTTAGGTCCTTGTCCTGATGTAAAATCAGGATCTTTTGAGTTCATGACAAGCAGGGGCCTGGGACTCTTCTTCCAGCTGCTGTGCCCAGTGGGCACCAATGCCAACCTGCTGAGCTGTGTTCCCACCAACTGCAGCCTGAGCCCTTGGACTGCAATACCCATGGCATGCAGCTAAAACATCTTTCTCATTTTCTCTCATGTTTGAAAGCCAGACCAAATCTATTTAAGATGTCCTACGCTGAAAACAATGAGGACAAAGTAGAACAACGATGATGAGGGCAGTATGAGCATGTGACATCTTGGATGCTGAACACTAGAGTAGTCACTTATGTGAATTAACTCAAACTCACTATATAGTTGGAGGAAGCATCTGGGGTTCCTGTGTTAAATATGTGAATAACTGGAGCTCAAGACGAGGAGGCTTGGGTAGAGTCCCTGGCTGGATGATGGTGGGCTGAGGTGTGAGCCTTGATCTGTTTGATTCTTACTCACTAAGCGCCACTGTCACCTGGTCTAAATCTGCTCACGAGACCTGTGAGAGGCGAGTGCTTGCCAGTGCCTAGCACACTGTGGGCAGCAACATGGATAGAATAAACACAGACTAGGTGAATACTCCGTTGTCTAATCTAAAAAGGTCCAAAGGAGAAGTCCATAAAGCAATCAGAGAGAAACTGACATGGCCCAAAAGTGAACAGTGGAAAGCCTTTGGGATCCAGAGACCACTCTTTCTGATCCAAGAAGCCAAATAAAAAGTATCAGTGACTACCCCTGTCACCCCTGTGTGCTCTCAGAGAGATTCCCAAATGAGCTGTGTACCCCCAAATAGACTCCACACAGTTGGCACCCCTCAATGGATGCTTCAGAATGTCAAAAGCCAATGTGGATAATAACCATCTTCTGATATGTAAAAGCTCCCAGACATATTATGCAGACTGACAATATGCGCCATGATGCCACTAGTGGTTAGAATAAATCACCACAGCTACCTCTTACAAACGGAAGTTGAATTTTCAGGTAGAGAAAGACATATAGCAGGCATCCTGGGAGGTAGGGCTGGGGCCGAGAAAAGGAGAATGGGGTAGAATTCCAGCTTCATCTCCAGTGTTTGGGATTTTACACGAAAATGCAATTGAACAGTATAATTAAAACCAACTAATATAAAGAAATGACAGTCCTGAAGAGACTGTGGGAACCAGGACCGGATCTCAGCCTGGCACATTCCACGGAGTGGAGAGCAGCTCAGCTCCCCAGTGCATGGAAGACAGTCAGGGGCAGCCCAGCATGCAGCACCACCAGCGCCCAGCCCCACCAAGGAGATGGTCCTCTGGGCATCCATTGTTTCCTCTTCAGGGAAACGATAGGGCAAGAGTCTCTCTATTAATGCTGCTTGAAGACCTGTTCTTTTAGGCGCTTCGTTGGAAATTCTGACTTTGGAGACTGAAAGAGGAAGACTTGCTGATTCCCCCCTCAATTCACCCCCCCCAGGAAATGAAGGTAGACTGCTTCAATGTTGCCAATGCAACATTGCCCTGGAGAAACGGCACATCTTCAAACCTGGTGGTCCTTTGCAAGTCCCTGTTTAGAATGCTGTGAAGCAGATCTTTAACAGGAAGGGCTTGCAGCCTCCTTCCTCCACCAGCCCTGATTCCTCACGGATGACAGAAGTCACCTGATTATCTCAGAAACAACACAGTCATGGTAAAACCAGAGCTTTGGGGCCTGGAATGGAAGGGGTGGGGCCTTCTTCTGTGGCCATGGTGTCTCTCAGCGCACTGTCAGTTTGCTCTAATTGTCATAATCCTTCCCCGTGCTGGGCACTTTATTATAACCTAATGACATTTTCTTTGCACGAGCAGTGGCCAACACTGCTGAGCTTTTACGTTCAGCTAAGAGGCCAGGTCCTAGGAAGAATGGCAGCCTTTGTGTGCACCTCGGTGGTGAGAATTACTGGGCGTCTTGGACAGCAACCAGCTAGGCAAGACGGAGAATGTGCCAGCAGTGGACTGCCAAGCCTGCTGGAGACAGAGCGCCAGGAAAGCTGGCTGTGGCCCCTCTGAGAGGGGCTCCATGGCTCCCAGTTTGGATTCCTTCCTTCAGGCTCTGCCACAATCAGGACCCTCAGGACAAGCAGCTTCTCTCCTTCCTCCTCGTGAAATCACCTTCAAAGGCGCAGAGGCACAGCGCTCTTGCCCAGAGTGACGAGGTCAATGTGTAGAGGAGTTCCAGCTCACAGTCTGGGGATCACTCGGGGACCAATTACTGGATCATTCCAGAATCCAAGACCTACCACTTTCCTAACACTAGTCCAAGAGCAGCACGAACACTCTGAGACACAATTCTTCAGTGAGACTCATTTTAGCCAGTTTTTCAGATCTACAGCCAAGAGGACTTGAGAGCATAAACGTGGTCCTAGAAGTAGAGAGCCCCGCCAGACAGCGCCTGGATTGCCCACCCCCAGCCCCTCAGCATCCCGTCACCATCACGCACCTCTTAGAGCGCATATGCATCTCCTTCTCGGAAATACGCCTTTCTTTGGGTTTGAACAAGTTATCTGGAAGAAACGGAAGAGAATTCATTTCAGTAGGGATGGAATATCACTCCGGCAACACTGGAGTGGTTCAGGAAGTTCTCTGTGCTTTGTTTCTCCCCCTAAGCCGCAAGCCTGTGCAGGACTCGAGGATCATAAATGGTTGTGTTTTGACAACTAGCCAATCAGCTGCTGGCTTTAACAAGAGTTAGGTAGAACACAAAGTGCAATGCTGGCATCTGACCAACGCTGTGAAGCTGCTCCTCTTAAGCCTTCCTTTAGCAACAGAGACTTGTGGCTTGCAGTGGGCAGTGTCAGGTGCACTCACAGAAAAATTCCCCCGCTAGGTTTACGAGGCCTCTAAGGGCAGAAAACCTCTCCGCCATCCCCTAAAAGTTTTGAGACAAGCAGACTCTTCTTGTGCCTGCAGTCTTCTATCAAGGGGTGCTTGGCTGCAAGATAAAAACACCATACCCCCTTTGCTAATGTTGGAAGATGGTGTCACGGACACCATCATGGTCCCCTATGCTCAGAGCAAAAACACTAACTACAAAAAAAAAATGAAAACAGGAATGCTTTTCAATGTAAGTACCTATTACTAATCGTTATGCTGTTTATGTATGGTACACTTAACAGTGGTATGTGTTTAATAATAACACTTCCTTTTTACAATAGCTGAAAAGGAACCTTTTGCAATGAATTTGAAATGTCTAAGAGACTCTCAGCCCTACAGATTAGCCAAGGGCCTGGCACACACCTAAGCACAGCAGCTGCTATGCTTTCTAGAACACTTGAATGTAACCAGCTCATGGCGCTCACTTGGAATAAGCAAACAGGAAGCACTGTATCCTTGCTAAGCAGCACAGATAGTCTATGACCTCCAATGAAAATATGGGTGTGCTTCTATTTCTCTCTCTCCTACACCCAGGCCTGTCCAGTGGCTCATCCATAACTTCTGTAATGGATAGATCAGCCCATAACTTCTGAGGCTTGAGGATGTGTAGACTCTTCCAGAAATGTCCAAGATGGTGGAAAAGACACAAAATCATCTAAGAAAGATCTTCCCTTCTGGAGAACAGAACACATCTGCTACCAAGAGTCAAAGGAGAAACAAGAGAAAGAAATCAGGACATTTCCAAGACAGAGGAAATTCATTAGTACTTAGAAAGATCAGGGAGGCATGGAATCAGGGAGAAGACAACACCACTGTGAGACACAATTGGCCAAGATGACTCCCAGCTCCCCAGCCTGGTATTGCCTCAATTCTAGACAGAGCCAGGCCAGAGCTGAGGGCACCTAAAAAGTCCCAAGAAGGAATCCATGCCAACTGAACCTGTCAGGATCTTACTGAACAGCAAGTTACTGCTTGAAGAATCTACTCAGAAGATCAAAGGCTGAGACTCCATTCTGGATTAGCATTCCTTAATAGCTGCTCCAGACAGAGTAGTGGATCCAGAGTAGACAGATGGAAAGTGTCTGGAGGGGATACAAATGTAACAAATTGTATTTGTATGATTTTTCACAATCTCAATTTAATTGTGTGTGATCTAGTCTAGAAATAGAAATAGATTTTTTTAAACCAATTTATTTCCACAAATAAGCATTCTATTTTCTAGAGAAAAAAGAAGATATGAGCCCTCTGAAACTTGTGTTGTTTTCAGAACTCTTTAAAGCCTGCTGTGCTGGAGCAAAAAGTTCAGTTCAGAACCAAGCAGCCCACAGTAAGTGCAATACAAGGAGAACTACCAGCCGGTATCATCCCACAGCTGAGAGGGATAGAGGGAAAGAGGGAAAGAGGGAAAGACAGAAAGGAAGAAGGAAGGGAGGAAGGGAGGAAGGCAGGAAGGGAGGAAGGGAGGGAGGGAGGGAGGGAGGGTGGGGAGGGAGGGAAGGAAGGAAGGAGAGGAGCAGGGAAAAGATACTGACATTCCTGGAGCAAATAGGTGAAAGATAGTAAGTGCTCTGCCAATGTCTTCCAATCTCACCAGAGTAGGAAGAACACTCCTGTCTTGAGTAGCTCTGGGCACATTGTGCTGGGGGGTGGGTAGTCAGGAAGGGAAGGAGTGGTATTATACAGCTGAGTTGTCAGAGTGCTGATTTGCAGTGATCCTGCTAGTGTGTACGTGTGTGTGTGTGTGTGTGTGTGTGTGTGTGTGTTCTTTTCATATCCTGACACAGTCTCATGAGGAGGATGAGTCTTCATACTAAACCTGTGACATGCCAATGGTTGCTTGCATCTGAGTGCTGAGGTCATGGATGTTGGAAAGGGCAAGTGTTACTGCTCAAGTTCAGACTGTGAAGGCCTGAGGACCAGGGTGGGGCTTCAGCTCCTATCAGCCCAGAATCACCCACACCTGGCCTGAATCTTAGACCACTGTCCACAGTCTCAGCCACAGAATGCATATTTCCAGAGCCTTAACCAAGTATGCCTGTCTTTCCTTGGAAGATGGGAATTCACTTCTCACATGTCCCTTTCTCCCAGGGATTTCCAAACTAGTATCTCCAGATGATTCTAGTATACACCAGAATTAGGAGCCACTCACATTGGATTTTGTACTTTACATGCCTATTAAGGAATTTGTCTCCAGAGCAAGAGAGATGGAGAGTCACAGGGAGATCTGACTTTTAGTGCTTGTAGCTGATGGAAGTCATTCCTCAGAACATGAAGGGGGTCTGGGAGAGGCACCCGTGTAGCAGGGAGGTCCGTGGTAGAAGATGGCGGTTCTCAGTGGGGAGGGTAGCTATGAGACCCAGCACACTGGGATTGTGGGGCTGGAACAAAGCATCATGACTCCCAGGCTTTGGGCTAAGCAACCTATTTACTTGACAACTGCCAAGCTTTTATGTCCTTGGCATTAGGAAGAAGGGACATGAAGATAAGTGAGACGAAGAGCTCAGAGCCCTGGATGAGAGCCAGAGTAGGGCCTTTACGTGCCAGAACCAATGTCTGTATGGGGACAGAAGAGATCTCGTGGAGGAAGGTCAGACAGGCCTGACCCAGGGCCACGAGACCAGACCACAGCAAGAGCTGGATTTTGGAGGGCATGGGTGGCATGCATTCTAAGACAACCAGGCTGATTTCAAGTATACAGCTGGCTGTACTCACTCAGTGATTTCCAGAATTTGAATTCAGTTATAGGCACATCATTTCTACTTAGCTCACCGGGGTAGAACCTGTAATTCATTTGACATAGGCAATAACAGTGTGGTCTATCTTACTCTAATTAGCTATCCAGAAATCAAACAAGACCTTTCTACACTACAGAGATATGGTAAAGTCTCACAGGTGGTATGCCTCTGAAGTGCTCTTCTGATGAGAAAAGCTTGTGGTGGATTTTTCTCTAAAGCTGCTTCTTCTTCTGTGGGATCCTCTCTGTGGCAGTGAGCAGCTCGTCTGGGGGTCTGGAGGGGGAGTGGAAGCCCGCATGTTGGCATGTACATGAGACAAAGGGCACTGTCATAATTGGGAAATGCAAGATGCAATTTCTGGCCTAGCCATGTGCAAGGCCTTTGTTTCATCTTGAGCCTCACCAAAGGAGCAAAACAAACAAAACCTCAGCATGCTGCTGGCATGGAAACAGACATATGGACCAGCCTGAATAGACAATCCAGAAATCAGCTCATGCCTCTGTGTATGACTGATCTTTGACGAGATTGCTTCTGCACACTCCTTTTAGAGAACGAAGCGGGAAGGGGTCTCTGGGCAAGCCATGTGAACTGTCCTCCAAGGTACGGGCTTCACTCCTGCGTGCAGGGCTATCCCGTGAGCAAGGAGCTCGGTCAGCATCTCAAGGCCTCCAGGCAGCCCGGGAGCAGGGCTGTTACCCGATGGGCTTCACAGAGGCTCTGCTTCCTTGGGGAGGGCAGTGCTGAGAGGGGCCTGCTGTGGCCTCAGCAGTCCAGGGGGGTCTCTTTCATATGCTCCCTGGATGCAGGTTGGCACAGGGGGCCTGGGCCACAGCAGTGAAGAGAATCCTAGTCCCCACAAAAGCTATTTCTTTAAAAAGAGAAGTGGACTCTGCTCTGTCATCTTGAACCTTGAGCACTGACTTCAGCCCCCTTCCTCTGACTGCCTAGGGGTCTCATCTTCTATGATTCCATGCTTGGAATCACACAGCTGTCTACTTTCCCAACTCTCTCTCTCTCCAAGTAGCACACAAGGCCTCCGAGGACAGAGGAGTCTCTTCTTGTATTCTGCTCTGCAAACCAGGGCTCTGTTCCCTATTCTCTCTCTGCAATCGATGCCCCTGCTTCTTTACCCTTGGCCGTGAGACACAAGATGCTTGGGACATGTGGTTTATATGTACTCTGTGTATTATAGGTATGCTTATATGTATTCATATGTATTGACTGGTTACTCTTCAAGGAATCCAACAAGGGACAAAGCGATCTGACAATGTTAGCTCCCTGGGACTGCTTAGACGGTCAGGCCCACACCAGCTCCTAACTCACATTGCAGCTTGCCAAAGGTCTGAGGGACCATGAGCTGGGCTCGTGTGAATTCCATTCACCAGTGTCAACAGCATCAGAAACTCTTCAACTAAGTCAGATCCCTACTGGACCCCAGGTACCCCAAAGGGAACCTCAATAAAGGGTTCCTGTCCACTGACAATAAAGTGTAACCTTGACATGCCCCCCAACCCTAGGAGCTCTGGGACAGCAATATCCACAGGTTGTAGGAAAACAATATGGGAGCTTTGTTCCCCCTCTGGGATTCAGTAAGGGTCAAGGGCAGTCCTTAGTGACCTCACTCGATGTGACACAAAGTTCAGCTCCTTTCTGCTTACATAATGATCATGTGAGCATTAGGAAGTTAAATGTGATGCTTTTACGATGCTCATATGGTGGTTCTTTTGATTTGCCTGACTCATGGTTACTTCAGAAGACCTCAGTGAGTGTAATTCTTTGCCTGGGGCTCTATGCCCAGCCCAGGCTACCTGAGCACTAAAATATCACTTCCTCCCCCACTCAGCAGGGACACGGAATCTGCTTTAAAGTTTCCTAGGACTCTTGGGAACAGTATG